TAACGAACAACAGTGGACGGACGACAGACTTTGCCTTGTATTGAATCCCTTTTAAATTTTAGTTTTATTTTCCTTTTTTTGGTGTGCATTTTACGAGTTAGTGATTGTTGAAAAAGTTTAATTGGGCTATTCCATAAAGGTTTTGGATTTCGTTAAAGCTAAATAAAAATATTTCCCTGTAATCGTATAATTTTTATGTGTTCGATAAAAATTATGCCCTTGTCCATCCATTCACAGAAAACAAATGGCTTATTATTTTGTTTTATATTTGTATTGTTCCATATTATTTCTTTACCAACAACAGTTATTTTTTATTGAAGTTTGTATACGACCAAGCACTGAGTACGTCTTTAAAAAAATTAGATCTAATATCAAAATTTTCTTTTATGTTTAGATTTCATTTTAAAATATAAATTGTTTCCCATATCTATTTTACATATTTTCATATACATAAACTTTAACCCAGATATAGTCACTGCAATTTAATGTGTTTAACCCAAGCATTTAAAGTTTCAATGTCTAACATTTTAAGCCCCCCCCCCCTTCCCCCATGACGGTTATCTTAAATAATCTTATCTCTTGATATATTGTCTTGTTTGTTGTCCCACAGGAAGTTAAACATAAGTTTTGTTTTATTTATTTATGATATCTATGTCTGGATTATGTAAAAAAAAAAGAAGATAAATAAGTTTGGGCACGGCATAACACAATGCTAATACAATATTTCTTAAAACCCTGGCTAGCTATTATATTATCATAAATTTTAACAGTTTAGTGTACTAGTTTGTAAAATGACCATTATCATCGGACATAAAATAGTTTGAAAAATCGCTTCCTCTTTAGAAGATTGACTCCGACCATATAGACCCATCTGTTGAAAATCATTGTCTTAAACTTTCGTTAATCAGTTCCCACTCCAACATACTGATTTTCTTTCCAAAGCAGTTCGAATGGCCCAGGATTTGTCACATTATGCTTATGAAATCATTTCTATGACGCTTGTTAGAGATTCTGTTATTCTAACCGTTTCTACAAAGTTTAACAGACCTTTAATTAAATTTAACTAACCGTTAAAAATGACCCTTATTTGATCAAAATTTAACGATTGATCATTTCTCAACGACTTTTTGGTCAAAAGCTAAAGTTGAATTGCTGGCAGGCACAATTCTCAACGTTGAAAAATGACAAAGGATCAGTTCTCAATATTGACAAATGACCCATATGGGGTAAATTTTTAACGGAGGACAAAATGTTATATTACACCGGAATAATTACTGTCCTGGTATGATTATTTAGACTTAACGGTATATAGTGTTCTAAATATATCAACACCCTTAAAGGGATTGTTTGATAACACAAACCCAAAGAATAAGAATAGAAGAAGGGTTTTCATAAAATGAAATATGAGAATTCTATTGGCAATTCTAAAATAAAATGTAAAGGATAGATCTTGTTATTCCAAGATACATACATGTAGTTCTAAACTAAAATGTAAAGGATAGTTTTTTTTTTGCCATCATAAAAAAAGGTAAAGGCAAAGGTTATTTTCAAAATACAATGTAAAGGATAGGTATTTAAAACTTTAAGTTAACTTGCTCAGTTATTTACAATATTTCCTCTCACAAAACATTTGTACTGCGTTCAGAAATCATTACATTTTCTAGTGAGCAGTTTACTTATTATGCTGCTGACCGTTCCAAGGCGGCACCCTCTGCGTTCCTCAGATGGATGTCTATGTTGTTTCATACTGTTTTGGTGACATTTTTTCTTGTGTCCTTTGTGTTTTCTTGTCTACGGTAAATATCTTCCACTTTGCCCCTAGTTTTTATTTCTTTGATTAACCCCCCACCCATTCCTCCGGTCTCCTGTCCCCTTCCCCTGTGCCTTTTGACTTTGTGGGTCTATTTTTCAATCATTTATTTGTTTTCTTTGAATTCCTTATCATTTGCAAATTATTTATCATTTCAGTGATTAACCTGTCCGTGCCCTGTTTTGTGCCCTGTCCTGTTTGAGTTTGGGGTCCGCCTGGGCTCCCTGCCACTGGTTCTTGTTTCTGGGTCGTATGGGGATTGCGTTCATTGAACGCCGCCTTTCCTTAATGATCTTGTTTATCATATTTTACGCAAAAAATTACTGAGTTTATTTAACACAAGATCTGATTTTTACATTTTGTCCAAAATAACGAGAAAAATGTCAGTCTTTATCTGGTACTTTATGATATTCAATAAGTGTCTCATATATAATGATAATTGGATGTGTTCAATTGATATAATGTTTATAATTTTCATATATTTTATGCATGTAAATTCAAGTATTCCCTATCGACTGCGTAGATAACATTGTCAGAAATTTAGTTCACTTACCAAAACAAGACAGGTTTGTTTAGAAACACATACATCTTAAAGTGTTCCATTTTTCAAGATCAATAACCCTACAAAAAATTTTATGTCATTATTTTGCAAGCTATGCTAACATTTCTATATGACTTTGCATGGAAAACTTAGAATTAGCATATTATGCTAGTTAACCAGTTTTTCTTCCGTCGATTATCTTTTTTAAACGGTGTTTCTTGTTATTTTATCAAACTATTACAAACATACTAAGATACGAAATGTTGATATTTGAATATTTGAACCAATATACAACACATGCATATAAGCCTGTGTACAGAAGTCTATTTCATGCAATTTTAAGTATTTGAAACAAAACCGGTCAAAGGTGAAAAAGAGATATTAAACACTCAAATGTAATAATACCTAATCGTGATTCGAACATGTAAATGAATAAATACAACACTGACATGGACGCCTTCTGCGGTATCACGGCACATGACAATATGCTTGTTTAGGCTGAAAACAAAGGCTCAATTTATCATCCTAGGGCGGTACATGTACCATAAAAAAGAGCATAATGTAGAATGTTTATATTTCAAACGGCAGAAATACATTACGTCTCTTGAGCTATCAAAGTTTCTAGTGTAAATCTCTTGCATATCTTAAGAAAATTTCTTAAAATAATTTTACACGATTAATTTAGTTTTGCAATATTTATGAATCTTAATTAACAGCTGATTATGAAGTTGGTTGGCAGAAAAGAGTATTCAATATCCAATGCCGCCTATGAACATGGTCAATCAAATCAAGTTCTCACTATAATTTTAGTAGCATAATTATTATACGTTTAAGGTCTCTTCTTTTTATACGTACGAAGACCTTCGGGACATATTGTATGTCGTTGTTTGTTAGTCCGTCAGTTTGTCCGTTTGTCCATAGATTATTGGTTTTTATTTTATATTTGTCATGTACGTTTATCAAAACTTAAAGTTCCATTTTCACTGCAAGCAACTCACACTTAATTGAGTTATGTCTCTCTTTAAGCATCTTTTAAGTGCAATTATTGGTTTTAACAGAATTGATGTTTGATTTTTATTGCAATGAACTTGTTACTTGATGAGTTATGACCCTTTTTACAACAAATGTTCTGTGAATTTTTTGTTTTCTACACAATAACTTTAATAAAAGGATTTCAACGAATGTGTTTATATTTGGCATGCAACCTTGATTTAATTGAATTATCTTTATCAAAATGAAATCAGGTCAAAATATTCAATTATCTTCTATTACTAATATGTTAACTTGTTACTAGAAAGCATGGACTGTATAATTTTTTCAAGTACTGCCACTTTCCGTTCGGCCAACACATTTTTCGACAATAACTAACAGAGAAGTTATCAAATTAATTTTTCTCTTACAATTCTGCTTTTATCATCATTTCAGCTTGTATATGTAACAGCTTTTTGAAATTTTACCGGAATCATTATTATGTATCATTGACTCATTTTTCTGTTGTGCAACGTTTCAATCGGTTAACAATATATAACCTGTAACACATATAATACGTCACACAATGGTAATGGTATTTTGGAGAAATTTGGAATAATTCAACTTCAAATAAATAGTAATAAACAATTTTAACCTTTTTATATGGCCATTTTTGAATTTTGATATCTATTTCCAGTAGTAAAGCTGTCACAATCGGGGCATAGATGTTCATCTCAATTTGCATAACAGAAAAAAAATATTTCTTGTGAAACTTTTAGGCCCTAAGGGTCTGCATGATCCACTGCTAGTGACAGCTTACTGAACAATTATCAGAGAGAATGTTATTCTGTGGTTACGTTACTGTAACTTTACTGACTTATTAAGTTTCAATTAATAATTGCACAGTAAAAAGGCAATGTTTTTGTAGCCCAGTTTACAATGTAAATTATTTTTTCATGATAGTGAACAGTGGCCAAACATAATATCCATTTCTGCAGACTGAAAAAAATCTGATTCTGTATAGCAAATTTTTGCGATTTGTAGCTGGGAAATTAAGGAGAAGTGGAAAACGTAAATTTTACATATTTTGAACTAAAGCCCGTCTCAAACAGAGCACGGTTGGGCACACGGTACATGTTGTCAAGGTAAACACTAGATGTGTTAACAGTTCGGTAATATGACAAATAAGGTTAAAAGTAAAGAATTGCTATAATGGATGATTGAAAAGTGGTTGTGATTGAAAACTGGCAGTTTTAGTTATCTTTCTATTTGGTACATTCTTATCCATGTCCATAATGCGTCCTTGTAAATTTGTCATAAGGTGTATTTTGCCTCGTCTCAGCGGTGCTCTTGTTTCATTTATTGCTCAATTCTTTTTCAAGTCACTAGATCGGGCAAATTTACATAGGTATATAATGATAAATTATAGTTTTAAAAATGGTATGATTCGATATTTGCTTGTTTCTTTTATCAAAACTGTCTTATAAGGAAATTGTATAGTTCGTTATAATTTACACTTAAGTATTTTCGGTATGTAATAACTCTAGGTCAAAATCAGGATTAAGATAGGCATTGTGTAATAGACAAAAAGAACGGTATACTGAAAGAAAGTTTTAATTGATATCCTTCTCTTAACTTGTTTAATTTACTAATAACACTAAAAGTATCTGTCCACAGGTAATGGTCACAAATGGCAACTGAAGATAACGTCAGATTTGTAAGATATCTATTTGAATTGGGCGTTGGCGGGAGACAGGCACTTAGAGAAATCATTATCAGAGAAGTCAGCAGCCGAAGTCAGCCATTAGAAAATCTCCTTTCAGAAAATAGACACCGATTTAAGTCTGATGAGCTCCTTACACAGTTGTTTCAAGCAGATGGTAAAATAAACACCAACATTGAACAATGGGATATACGACTACTTTACAATGTTATAAAATCGTTGTTTTGGTCGTCTATTTCGTCAAGAGAAAGAGGTGCGATAAAAACATTGAATTCTCATAGAAAGGATGTACAAAGAAATCCCGATGGCACAAGTGTGATGGAAGTAGAGTACAGAACCATCCGTGATGATTTAAGGACAGCAATTTTTGATATTGCCGAAGCCATGGACGGAACAAGAAGACAACAATTGCGTGCCATTGTCAGTAGATCTGGAGCAGCAGACCTTGACATACAGTTTGCTTTAAGACAAATTTGCGAGCTTAACGAGTTTGCTGATGACTTATTGCAATCTTTGGAACAAAGGTTTCGAGAGACAAATAGAGGTAAGATGAAAAATAAAGCTATAACTGGAACAATTATCTCAAAGACAATGAAAAATTAATCTACATTTTGTTAGTATATGTAAATGAAAAGTAAGAAAGTTATATAAACACCCTTGGCAAATTGTTAGTAAATGGTTATCTAACCACTTTTCATTGTTGATTATGACGCTTTGAAAGATTTACGACATTAAGAAGACCGACGAAGGATAGGAATATATTTAGCTGAAAAAAAAACTATAAAATTGTATTAGCCACTCCGCATATGCTATGATTCATCAATGTAAAAGCGATGAGAAAGTTTTTATACTCCTAGAATCAAACTCAGTCCGTTTTTAAAGGGAAAGCGCATAATTCTTAGTAATTAATTTATATATATATAACGGATTTCATTTAAACGAAAGAAATGAAACATGTATAACCAGATTTCTCGGATGACAAAGGTTCGATCATATCTTGTCACTTCTTTTGTTAAAACCAGAAATAAGTAGTATTTTGATACGTTCGCTACACGGGAATAAAAAAACTATTGCAAATTCCAGGTTAATTTCATGAACATGTTTCTGCAGATATTTGCCAACTTTATCAGTAAAACGCATAGCTTGACAAAACGTTGCTATATAAGGGTATTGGATTCCAAGTTTTCAAGAGGTTCACTTTGATGTAGGTCTAGACCAACACCGTTTTCAAAATTGATCACTCCGTTTTTTTCAGGAATAATTGTACTACTTGTGAAAATTATTTTCATTTTCTTTTACTAGGAGTCGATCGGCGTAGAGTAAATACATCTTTCCGAGCAGTGGGAGCAATTTCGAAGAATGTTGAAGGTAATTAGAAATAAGTCTAAATTATTGTAAAGTGGCACCGGCTTAATATTTAAACATGAAATGGAAAAATTTTGAATTTAGAAACATCCACAGATGTGTTCATACGGCGGTTATCACGTAACCTTCAATTGACACTACCGTGCCATTCAATAATCAAAGTGCTGAAGGCACTGCAGTTGTGACGTACTTAAAGGATCAAAATTACTTTTTTTTTACTATTTCGGGGACAGATAATTCGATAAGTGAAGGGTGTTGCCGGTTGATAAATGTAAAGTGCACAATTCAGTAAATGAACAGTAGTTGATACAATTATTCTATGACACACTGTTCAAATATAATATTTAGGTTACATGTATGTGTAGGTCCATCACAAAGCGTTATTGGCCCTTTTTGACAAGGGCAACAAGTGAAATAAGACACCGAAAGTGTTGTTTTTTAGTAAGGATGAAGCATTTGTAAGACATAGAAATTAAATACAGTATTACCTCCTTCAAAAAGTAATCCTCCTTTATAACTGAAGAACCATAATAGATATACAGTTGCTGTTTTCAAAGCACCACCATCAAGTTGTTATCTTGTAAGTAAAAATGCTACGACGGATGGACGGAAAGACGCCAGGGGTATAACATAATATAAGCACATTTTTTATGGCATATAATTAATGTATTCAATATAAGTGATCATCCTATGAAGTTTGACAGTTGTAAAACTGTATACAATATTAAGGTCATTTAATATTGACCTTTGATCTTGTGACCCCAATATAGATATGGATCTTTTATTCTATATACAGGGCTGGGAATCAAAACTGCGTCGTATCCTACAAAATGTAAACAAACGCCGCCATCTTGGAACGAAAAACGTATGTTTTTGTTTATAACTCTTTTTGTTGGAAATGACTGAAAACAAGATATATGTATTAACACGCTACACTACTTTCCGCATCGTTCGGTATATGTTGCTTGCACAACAATTTTGACAAATATCTTGTTTTCAGTCATTTCCAACAAAAAGAGTTATAAACAAAAACATACATTTTTCGCTCCAAGATGGCGGCGTTTGTTTACATTTTGTAGGATACGACGCAGTTTTGATTCCCAGCCCTGATATAGGCAATCATCCATTCAAGTTTGAACACTGTCCTGATATAGGCAATCATCCATTCAAGTTTGAACACTGTAAGCCTAAAGGAACATTAGCTATAGGTTGATTAACACTTAAATTATTGAGCGGAAACTGTTTTCAGTTTTAAGGTAATATTTACCTCGACCTTTGACCTTCTGACCCTAAAATCAATAGAGCTCTTCTACCCAATATGGACAATCATCCTATGAAGTTTGAATAGTGTGGTCCATATGGAACTAAAGTTATGCTCCGGAAAACTGTTTCCAGTTTAAAGGTGATAGTAACCTTGATCTTTGACCTTGTGACCCCAATATGGACAATCATCCTATGAAGTTTGAATACTGTGGGCCAAATGGAACTTAAGTTATGCTCCGGAAACCATTTTTAGTTTTAAGGTAACAGTGACCTTGACCTTTGACCTTATGACCAAAAACTCAATTGGGGTCTTCTACCCAATATGGACAATCATCCTATGAAGTTTGAATAATGATGGGCCAAATGGAACTTAAGTTATGCTCCGGAAACCATTTTAAGTTTTAGGGTTATGGTGACCTTGACCTTTGATCTTATGACTCCAAAATCCATAGGGGAGTTTTCTACCCAATATTGACAATCATCCTATGAAGTTTGAATACTGTGGGCCAAATGGAACTTAAGTTCTGCTCCGGAAACCATTTTCAGTTTTAGGGTAAAAGTGACCTTGACCTTTGATCTTGTAACCCCAAAATCAATAGGGGTATTTTACCCAATATGGACAATCATCCTACGAAGTTTGAATACTGTGGGCCAAATGGAACTTAAGTTATGCTCCGGAAACCATTTTTAGTTTTAAGGTAACAGTGACCTTGACCTTTGACCTTATGACCAAAAACTCAATTGGGGTCTTCTACCCAATATGGACAATCATCCTATGAAGTTTGAATAATGATGGGCCAAATGGAACTTAAGTTATGCTCCGGAAACCATTTTAAGTTTTAGGGTTATGGTGACCTTGACCTTTGATCTTATGACTCCAAAATCCATAGGGGAGTTTTCTACCCAATATTGACAATCATCCTATGAAGTTTGAATACTGTGGGCCAAATGGAACTTAAGTTCTGCTCCGGAAACCATTTTCAGTTTTAGGGTAAAAGTGACCTTGACCTTTGATCTTGTAACCCCAAAATCAATAGGGGTATTTTACCCAATATGGAAAATCATGAAGTTTGAATACTGTGGGCCGAATGGAACTAAAGTCATGCTCCGGAAACCTAATTGCTAACGGACTTACGGACGCCAGGGGGTATAAAATAATATGCCCGAAATTCTTTGGGGCATATAATTAAGGGAGATAAAGCTATGAAAAAATGATCAATTGTGATATAAATATATTAAATTTTCTGTATCAGTATCAAGAAAACACTCAAATGGTCAATATTTTTGCATCACATTATATGAATGTGGCCATGTCATTAGAACTTATGATGGCTTTTGTTCACTGCACTTCTCATGCTACTCTCTTTCACTGTATGAAGTTTCAATCAAATTCCTTCAATAATTTAATCCTCTCTCTGAACAAGTATCATGAAAAAACATAAACGGAGATAACTCAAAAATTAAGCAATGTAGAATTTTGGTTACTATTTGACACAGCACTTCTGCTCACTAGTCTCTACAACTGTATTTAGTTTGAGTGAGATATCATTGAAAAGATTTACTCCAGACAACCAACATTTTAAATGTTTATGTATTATAAAAGATGATTATTGTAAAATTAAGCTAGGATTTAAAAATACACTTCCTTTCACTTGAATGTTTTCGCTGTGTAAAATTTAAATCAAATTCCATCATTTCTTTTCCAGTATTTCTCTGGACAAGCATAATTAAGCACATGTATTATAAAGGGAGATAATTAAAAAATAGGAATGCAGTTATGGTTCTTTGACACATTGGCAAATTCGAGTCCGTACAACTGGGTGTAGTTTAAGTGATAGTTTGGAATAAGCATTTTAAACTTATGGGAGATAATTAAAACATGAAGCAAGGTAGAGTTATCTTTCTTAAACACTGCACTTCCTCTCAAAAGTCTATCACTTTGTAAAGTTTACATAAAATCCCTTCAATACGTATTTAGTTATATTCATATTCTGGACAAGAGTGTGAAGGACGGATGTCTTCCTAAGTTCACAATGTGGGTTTTTTCTTTCATCATCTAAAATCTCAAAAACACCATAAGAATCATATTTTCCTCCCATGAGCAACATTGTCCCCACAAGTACAAGTCTGTATGGAATGAACGCGAATATTTATCCATAATATTACTTGAGTCCATACAGACAGAGGGTTAAGACCGCAACTGTATTCTCTCCCTTTTCGGAGCATAAATTATAGTAAGATGCTAAATGGCTCTATATCAGATACCAGTATGATGAACCATGCTTTTGTACCTTTTGAGTAATATAAGAATTCAGATTTCATTGACATACAGAAAGGGGTCAGCATTTAGTCCCCTCTTGGTGAAAACAGAAGAGAACTCATACATGTAACAACAATTAATTATAGTTTCAATTCTTAGGTCTTTTACTTTTCATTAAACCAGGCAAGCTAAGATACATATTGTTATAACTTATGTACAATTAGATGAAGTGCAATAATTTGCAAAAAAAATGCATGCTTATCTTATTTGTCTCTTCTTACATTTATAATGCAGAGCACTAGATTTGTGTGTCTGTCATACAAAATGACTTTCAATAACACTATTTGAATATATTTGATATACAATTACTCATTAGTTTACAATTACAATACTCATAGTAATACTAAATTCCTTTTTTGTGATAATTATTCTATCACATATGTTCAGACAGTATACAATTTATTTGTTTAGACCACATACAATTTAAAGGTATAATTATTTATTTGCTTCAAATAAATGTAAATAATGGTAAGTTTAATAACCAATATGAATGTTTCAAAGATTATCCCTTCAAACTTTAAAACAGCCTGTCAATTAAACATATCTTTGCAATTGAGGCACACTAAGCAGAAAAAAGGTCAATCAAAGGGTAGGGAAACATTTATATCATTTGGTGGAGAAACAATTACTTCACAGCTGGGCTGTAAAAAGTCTCCCCATACATTTAATCAATGATGTTATATTTTCGATCCTTGAAGATCGTTCAGCACGACATTATTGTTGTGCTTGTGGTATTTTTAGTTTCAACTTTTCGGCATTTTCTAGTTGGGTGGTTCCAATATTCCTACTTGAATAATTTGAATCACCCTTAGGATATGTTGCCTGCTTTTTAATTTTGTATTTTGACGTCTTATCTGTGATACGCAGGCTTCATAACCTCTGAGCCCCTTTCAAAATTCCATTTTATTTAGTTCCGCCCATTGTTTTCTCGTTTAGGGCACACGCTTTTTATTACTTGGGGACCATACGCCGCTTTTCATGGAATGGCACGGAAGTGTCACATTGAAGGTTCCATGATAACCGCCGTATGAACACATCTGCGGTTGTTTCTAAATTCAAAATTTTACTATTTCATGTTTAAATGTTGAATTCTGCTTAAGCCGGTGCTAGGGGGCGTGGACGGTAACTTGCACTTTCCAGTACCGTCCATGAACAGGCTCAATCAAACCGAGCCTGCAACATTTTCAATTTTGCCGTGTTGGGCTTTCTTTAGGGATTCTGATTTCATCTATTTTTTGCTATTGAATATTTTCATTTGTTTCAATCTTGAATGATCAAAATGTAAACAATGTTCATAAGGATGAACTGTATTTTAAATTTTGCATACATATTGGGGTCTTGTTCAAGGCAATAAAACTGTATTGTAAATTTTGCAGTTCCTTGTAATGTCCTATAGGATTGATTTGTACCACCTTAAAGCACCATACTATGATATTTCATGTGAGTGATCATTTTCAGTATTCTTTATGCCAATTGACAGAAATATTTAAAGTATGTTCTTAACTAACACTATAATAAACTGTGAGCATGCACTGACACTCTTTTTTGTTTTAGGCGGTACTATATATGAACAAGTCTTTGACTATTTCAGTATGAAGATTTGAAATGCAAACTAAACAAATTCAGTTAGACATTTTGGGAAAATTTCCTAGCACAGGTTCGGAAATTTTGCATCCAAAATATTCAGTACCATGTACAAAGTTGTTAATCGTTCAAAGAATGAAAAATACATAAAAACATCATCTGTCTGGTACCATACTGGATTGAAATGGAATGAAGAAAAATTGTCAGCTTTGATAACGGGAATTTGACTCGATTATGATTTTGTTCTAAACTTGGAAAAAATAAGCATATTTGGCATTATTTGCCACTGGGAATGGGTTTTGTAATCTGGCCCGTGGTGACTCTAGTAAAAAGGCATATGATTTCATGAATAACTTTTGGAAAACAGTTTGATTTGTGAAATATACATCAAATATTATACCTGTTGTTTGTGATAATCTTCCTGTCTTTCTTTAATCTTATATTTTTTCTAGCTTCATGTACCAGCCTTTCCAAGTGATTATTGGGATAAATACTCTTTTATTTCCCTGAAAATATCAATTTAGAGATTTCAACTTCAAAATTATTTAATACTACTCTCTTAGTGTGTGTATATACAATGCATAATATATATGGTTACACCATAATATGATTGTGTACAGCATGAAAGGACATAAAATTTGAAAATTTATGATAATAATATTTCTTCATATTACTCCACAATATTACCACTTAAAATAGAAAATGTTCTTATCATTTTATTATGCCCCCGCCATGTAATGGCCGGGGCATATAGTGTTACCCTGTTCCGTCCTTCCGTCCTTCCGTCATTCCGTCCTTCCGTCATTCCGTCATTCCGTCATTCTGTCATTCCGTCATCATCAGTTTCCGTTCATTATCTTAGTAACGGTTGCACATATTCAACTCAAATTTGACATATAGATATGTCATGAGAAAATACAGGTCAAGTTCGAATTTGGTCATGGTTCGATGATTTTTGGCAGAGTTATGCCCCTTTTACTTTGAAAATAATATGAAATTTTCAGTTTCCGTTCATTATCTCCCCAACGGTACAACACATTCAACTCAAATTTGACATATGGATATGTCATGAGAAAATACAGGTCAAGTTCGAATTTGGTCATGGTTCGACGATTTTTGGCAGAGTTATGCCCCTTTTACTTTGAAAATAATATGAAATTTTCAGTTTCCGTTCATTATCTCCCCAACGGTACAACACATTCAACTCAAATTTGACATATGGATATGTCATGAGAAAATACAGGTCAAGTTGGAATTTGGTCATGGTTCGATGATTTTTGGCAGAGTTATGCCCCTTTTACTTTGAAAATAATATGAAATTTTCAGTTTCCGTTCATTATCTCCCCAACGGTACAACACATTCAACTCAAATTTGACATATGGATATGTCATGAGAAAATACAGGTCAAGTTTGAATTTGGTCATGGTTCGATGATTTTTAGCAGAGTTATGCTCCTTTTACTTTGAAAATAATATGAAATTTTCAGTTTCCGTTCATTATCTCCCCAACCGTACAACACATTCAACTCAAATTTGACATATGGATATGTCATGAGAAAATACAGGGCAAGTTCGAATTTGGTCATGATTCGATGATTTTTGGCAGAGTTATGCCCCTTTTACTTTGAAAATAATACGAAATTTTCAGTTTCCGTTCATTATCTTCCCAACGGTACAACACATTCAACTCAAATTTGACATATGGATATGTCATGAGAAAATACAGGTCAAGTTTGAATTTGGTCATGGTTCGATGATTTTTGGCAGAGTTATGCTCCTTTTACTTTGAAAATAATATGAAATTTTCAGTTTCTGTTTATTATCTCCCCAACGGTACAACACATTCAACTCAAATTTGACATATGGATATTTTTTTGGAATGCCAAGGTCAAGTTCGAATTTGGTCATGGTTCAATAATTTTTGGCAGAGTAATGCCCTTTTCACTTTGAAAAAAATATGAAATTTACAGTTTCTGTTCATTATCTACCCAACAGTGTTACATATTCAACTCAAATTTGACATATGGATATGTCAAAGGAATTGGCAGGTCAAGTTGGAATTTGGTCATGGTTCGATGATTTTTGGCAGAGTTATGTCCCTTTCACTTTGAAAATAATATAGATACATCTTAGGAATAGGCAGTTTAAGTTTGAATTTGGTCGTGGTTCAATGATTGTGGACAAACTTATCTTTCTTGAATATTGGAAAAAAATTTGAACTTTCAGTTTCAGCACTCATACTTTTGTGGAAATGTATGTAGCCATTATTTTGGCTACAAATATGAAATATGCTATTTTCAAAAGGTTAAGACTGAATAATTTCAGTGCCTTGAACATTGTATGGAAATGGTTTGTGTTAACATTGAAAAGTTTTAAGGGCTTTGAACTTTAAATGAAAACAATAATTTGTGCAAACAAATTTGGAACTAAATATTATAACATCTGAAATTTTGGCTGCATGCGGGGGCATCCGTGGCATGATGACACATTTCTAGTTATGATATTTATTTGCTACATGTAGATTTGTGAATAAAATGTGAATCTCAGTATTATAAAAAAAATGTTAAATGTCTAATTAACACTGATTAAATTACTTAACCATGTAGTGAGAACAGGTATAGATCATTTCCAACAGCCTTGCTGTTGTGTTGACTTTTTCGCAACATGGTCTTGTGTCTGCCTTATAATCAAGAGGTCTGGGGTTCAAATCGCTTTCAGTGCCTGAAGATTTTTCAGGTTAACAATTATCATGGTGGCAGTGATTTTTTTTCAATTTTCAAAACAACCTGTGGCTTTCTGAAAAGGCAAATATAGCTTGATAAATCAGAAAAGGGGAAAATCAAATTCCAACCACTGAGAATGGAATTTACCCATACATTTGCAAAAATCAATTCTAATTCAATTTAAAGGGATTCCACTGAGGTATTTTGACATGATGGGACTGAAAATATTTTTTGCAGATAAATGTACCATTCAAGATGTAAGTTTAGACCACTAATCTTTGTTTTCACTCAAATTGGGCTAAAAAGCATAAAATACATTCAATTTATTTCAAAGTATATTTCTTAACTATCTTTGCATATATTTTTGTTTAAAGTGCCCCATCTCATTTATGTAAAAAATTCAAATGTTATGTTTTTAGGCTTTTAAACCTCAGTAAGTTCCTTAAACATGCATGGTAATAGCAGAGACTATCTATAGGGACAGCTTTCTGTCTTCTAGCTGATATAAGTCAGCTGATGTTAAGTCATCGTTCTGGTGAAGAATGTGCACAGGGGTTTTAGGGGAAAATATTATCATTTTCAGGGAAAAATATATACCTTTTTTGGGCTAGGTTAAACAGCTTTTATGCGGCTGTGAAAGGGGGACACTAGGTGTTGAGGGTTAAATAAAAAATGACAATAATGCTCGTTTGTCATTTGTTGGTATGAAGAATCAATTAGCAATCAATAAGAGTTTAGTCAGAAATAATAGGTCAGTGCTTCTTCCTCTAATGTCTCAATTACACAAGACCTGCAGTATTTGCAGGGGCTAAACTTAACAGCTAAATGGCTCATATTGAGGGTTAAATCATTTTTTTTCTATTTTTTTTCTAATCTTTCATAGAATCCCTTTATTCATTGAATAACTTCATGTGTAAACATGAAAGATGAAAATAAAATTACCATTTGGTAGAGACGTTACGGCCGTGACAAGACCAACAAATTGTAGGCGTATATGCCGGTTTTCCCTGTAAAGGCAGACATCTGTGTAATATCAATTTGTAAAATCTGTCGCTTTGCAGTCCAAAAATTGATACTAGGCTACAGTAGGGTCGAAATGTCTTGGTGACGATAGACTCGAGATCTCTCAAATTACTTCGAAATTATTGACGAAAGTGTAAGGTTCGGTAACGAATGACATCAATTAATAAACAAATTATTATTATTTATCAATTTCATAACATATTTTGCTTTACAACTTACCTTATGGGCTAAACAGGCTGATATGCTTGTCAAGTAGGTGATAAAGTAAACCGGAAGTTGTCGGATTCATAGGCGAAAAATATTTCAGAGACATAGATTATCTACATCTCTGGCTATTTCTATTTCAATATTCACTTTACAATTATAAACTATAAAATTTATTCGATCAAAATTGTCTTTTTCAAACATTTCTGGAATATTATACAAAAAATGAGATGATAAGGTACGGATGAGTAAGCCGCCAATCGCTTATCTCCATTCATGAATACTAATGAATGAATCCATTCATAGAATTACTCGACCTACATTTCTAATACCGTAATTCAAGCTAAATTTTACATGATTTTCAAAAATAAATTTCTTATCTCCTCTTCCTATTCGCAATAAATCAAAGTTTTCAGAAAAACATAGCACTTTTTTTCACTCGCGACGGTTATGCGTCGGTCATGGTCGGATGATCACTATGAATTCTACTTCCTTGAAAAATGTAAGAATACAATATAGCATATATAGTGGTGATGAAACGTCATTGCAGTGGGCGTTGCCCTGTATGATTGGACATTTCGGGTTTGTAAGTACACAAGTTGGGACTACGTCCCAACTAAAAGTGGCGTATGATCTCCAAGTAATAGAAAGCGAGTGCCCTAAACGTGCGGAACTTAACAAAATGGGGTCAAAGGTTATGAAGTTATTTTGATGTCACCATTCTCTTTTGTAATCGTTATAATAACTAAGTCATTTTGATCTGAATTTGTGTTGAATGCATATAAGAAGAAATGTACATTTGAAATGAAACTAGGAATAGACTTTTTCAACTTTTGAAAGTTAATAAAATTAACTTTATCTTTTCTCTTTACAGTAGAGGAGAATTCAGATGTACAGAACCAAGAAAATGATACTTATATGACAGGTCAGACTTAATATAATTTTTCAGATATTTACTTTCTGTTACATAGTTGCAGAAAGAAATTTAGATTTTTAGAGGATAAGGTTAAATCGACTTAATCAATATCCGTTGTATAAATAAGTGCGGAAGCTCATCAGGGCCTACAGTTGATGAGATGTTTTGCGCTAAGTCGAATTATTTTTATTCGCATTGATAACATGATTACGGAAGCTTAGCAGGGCCTACAGTTTATGAGATGTGATGAGCTAACTGATTTTTTCTCGATATGCTTGAAGCTTCGTGATTTCACGACTTGCTGAAGTATTTAGGAAGTACAGGATTACTTGCAATCTAGGGAGATGCCATAGATATATAACATGTCTTTTACCTGGCACCCGCAAAGACGTCACTCGCATTGATAAATAGCTCACGTAATTCGACAAAAAAATTCGGGCAATGATTAAAAACTTCTACGCATTACGTATAAATCAGAACGTCTTCGTGGAATGTTTAACGTATTACGTATTTATAATAACGTCTTCATGGAATGTTTTTGGTCAAAACGAGAAGAAACAAGTTGACATGACGTGAAAATGTTTAGATAAGTGGAGGCCCTAATAAGCTGCCGTACTACAGCATTCGGTTATAATGTGCATACATATAAATTTACTGACTTAATGACACGTACTTTAATGCGTACATATCTAAGAAATGATATAATACATTTTATTAACAAAAATGATCTTTTTAATGTCTTCACTTTTATTTTAGACATTCATGGTTCTGCATTGGAAATACAAGAAACAAATAATAACGCAGGGTTTCACCAGGTTCATTCAGATTTCTCTATAGGTATTTCCATTGTTATTTTTCTCTTATATTTAAAAGGACTTGACAAATGTTTTTTGGCATGATTACACCGGGAAATGCATCACACAAAAATCGACTTCCAATTCAATTCAGCCTTGACTCAATTTCTTTATTATTGTTTGCATATTTTTAGATGTGATTGCTGCAGTTGCTTTATTAAAGATACTTAAATATTGTATCAATTCCAGGCTTCTGAACATCAGTGGAGCCCATTTAATACATTTTTGCACTGCTCACTATTTAAACAGTAATAACATGTTTCATATAAATTTATGTCTTTGTTTAAAAGTTTTCCGTGTATTTCTTCAGACCGGTATGTTGTATCATTTTACAAGGAATTGATTCATGTTTTCAAAAGGGGAATAAAAATTTTACTGTAACAACAAATATATTTTTATGTTGTTTTTAAATACTAGTACTGATTTTAATTTTTCATAATCACTTGTTGTGAAAAAATGCTTTCAATAAAAGTGTATTTTTATACTGTTATGGGACAGGTGTCACGCCTAGGATTAGAAGGTAGGTATCTGAGGAGGCATGCAATACATTGAAGATCATTGCAATTTAGAAACCCCTAAGATCCATTTCGCTTCAAAAAAAACTTTTCTCACAAAAGCTTCATTATTTGCTTTCCTGTTTCCTAAATTTTCCTCGCTTGGCAATATAGCTTTAATTTTTTATTTATTGTTGAATCTATATTATTATATGTAATCGGTCTAAATTCCAAAAGTACGTGCAATTGATTTGATATATCTAATGAATATAAAAAGTATAATTTCGAGCAACTTTTGCTTCTTATTCTATCTCTTGTTAGGTACAACTTTTCTACGGAATAATGATGTTGACCAGGGAGACGAAACTAGTCTGAAATCACTTGTTGAAACCAGGGATACCGGTATGAGTTGACTCGAGGAGTGAAAGTGGGGGGGGGGGCACTATGGACTGAAACATATCGGCTGGAAACTTATGGGCTGAAACTTATGGGCTGGAAACTTATGGGCCGGGCACTATGGGCTGGATAGGAGAAACTTATGGGCTGGTTAGGGAAACTTATGGGCCTGTGATGGGAAACTTATGGGCCTGTGTTGCGAAACTTATGGGCCTTTAAAAAATGGAAAGGGTACACTTAAACTCTCTTACATGTTTATCATATAATGCGAGTATTGTGTTCTAAAAATAGCCATTTTTTTAGCCTGTGCTGTCATGTATATATTGATCGGTGTGTACTACACTTCAAATAAACAAAATTTAAATTCCAGGAATCGTGTACAGTATACATGAGTTGTACTTTCAATATCAATACAGTATATAAATTAATTGGGTTGACAATATATGAAAGATATATTCTTTCGGGAAGAATTGTGTTGGTTCTAAAAAGAACCTTTTTTATTTTTTCTATTTTATTATTTTTTTTTATTTTTTTATTTACAACAGTACATCAGTTCTTCACTGGCTATATATATATCTTCGCTGCTCACTGTTGCTCAGTGTGCTCACTGGTTCGCTGCTCAGTACTATGTGGTTCAGTACTGGTCTGTTCAGTTTGCCGTTGTTGCTGATGGTGACCTAAAGGGATAACAATCTCATAGTACATGTAGTAGGGCATGAATCGTAGCTGTCGCTTCCTTCTTTCATTTTGTCTATCATTCTGTTTGAGTCTTTCCTCTCTCAACTCTCTTTCGGACTTTTCTCTATATGACTGAGCATATTGTTGCATGGTCTCTGTATTTCTACAACGGTACATCATTCTTTCCATCTCTTGTTCCACCAGTGTATGAACTTCAGCATACAGTTGTAGACTTTTGAGTCAAGAGCTTTAATCTCCGCAATGTTTTCTTCAACCATCTTAATGTTACCCATTGTGTGTGGTAAGGTGTGTGCCATGTTGACAAATGATGAACATTGATGGTAGTCCGCTCTTTATATAGGCACGGGATCGGATTGACCTCATTTCACATTAACTATGATATCAAAATTATGATATCATGATAACCAATTATGACAAAGATGGCATGGTGTTATGGACCAATCAAATGAGAGCTATGATAGATCATTACGTGAATTTTAATGTTTTAATGTGAAAAAAACTCAGACATGCCTTACCCAGATCTTGAGTCGAGAATGGATAGGGTCATGACCCTTTATAGTAGACTGGGCAAGACAGTGCTGGAGTTACAGCAAGAGGTGGAGCGGTTGCAGAGGGTGGAGATGGAGAGAAGGCGAGAGGAAGAAGACAGAAGAAGAGAACAAGAGGAGAGAAGGAAAATGGAGGTGACGCCGGAGCGGGAGCCTGAACCCCAGACTCCCCGTCAGTCAGTTCATGATTGAGATGATGTCATCATTATAGACGGGGAGGACTGGAGCTCCGGAAGACGATGAGCCGGAGTTTCACCTCAAGCTTGGCCCAAGTTAAAATAAGTGGGCCAAGCTCCAGTACTGCCCTGAGAGTGAGTGCCAGGATATGGCATTTGCCTACAAACGGCCCTTTTCAGGGCCACCCAACTATTTTCGAGAAGAAATACCTCAACATATTGTCAAACAAACATGTAAGTCATGATATAGTCTAAGCCCCTGTATTAATTTATAAAACTAGATCAAGAGTCAATATATAGAGTCCCGTTTTTCATATATAGATCTTAATTCATATTAGATCTAAAAATTTGTTAAGTATAAAATTTTATAATAATTCATATCTATTTCCAAAAATAAAAATATTTCATGTACAGAAATAGTTGCTGTAAGTTTTATCCAATCAGATTGCATTTTTAATATTTTACATTTTGAATGTAGGTCAATCCGATTTTTGATTTTTTAGATACGTGATATTTACTTTTTGTTTTTGAATGTAGGTCAAAGAAAGAAAGAATGCAAAATTCAAGACACAAAGTAAAGTGTATGATGTGACATTTGACAGCTATGATCGGCCGTTTGAATTTACGCATGATTTATTCAACAGCTTAGTGGAGGAGATGAAAAAACAGTGCCGTGCTAAAGCTCGAGACAAAGTACGGATATCGATTTCACATCCCGATTTACAATTCGGGATTCATATTCCGTTTGATGATGTGAATCACGTGACAGGGGAAACGCTGCTCAACGAAATTGAACGTGTTATGCAGAGTAACGACAGCTTTAACGTTCATGATGGAGAAATGCATGCTGAAATAACACATATTTCTATGCCTGAAGGCTCTGGACGACGGCGAAATATGCATTTCGGATCACATATAAGTATTGAAAATATGACTAAAGTGAAAAGAAGTATCATTCAAATCAAAAATTCAAAAGACTGTATGTGTTTAGCACGTGCTATTGTAGTAGGCATATGTCACGCTCAGAAAAAAGATACCGCTGAATGGAAGAAAAAATGGGAAAGTATACGAAAATCGGATAAAACATTACAAGAGGCAGAAGCTAAAGCTTTATTGGATCAAGCTGGCATACGATACGATCAACCATGTGGGATCGAGGAATATCAGCAGATACAAGCTATACTGTATCCAGAATACGTGATTAAAATACGAGCACAGCACGCAAATTGCGAGATGTTATTTACACCGCCGCAGATGACAGAGCACAGTACAGCCATTTACATTTATTTTCATCAAGAACATTTTGATACGATAAAGTCTATCACGGGATTCTTAGGCCGATGCTATTATTGTCATTATTGTGATATAGCCTACAAATGTAAAGAACAGCATCAATGTAAACATTTATGCCAGTGTTATTCTACGACGAAATGTAAATTTGTACGAAACAGACAGTGCATGGATTGTTTGCGGTTTTTCACTAGTGATGAATGCTTTCAGAAACATAAACAAGTAAAAGGTAAACATAAGAAGAATATATGTCAATCGGTATGGGTGTGTAAACAATGCAATCAAATGGTCGTAGGCACAAGAAAATCGCATCTGTGTCCAGGGACTAAAAAGTGTTACTACTGTAAACAAGTGGTGAATGCTGATCATGAGTGCTACATTCCAAAGTATGAATCTCCAGAAAAAGAGAAGCAACCAGAGGTGCCTTTCATCTTTTACGATTTTGAATGCCGATTTGACAGTGGTGAACATATTCCTAATTTCTGTGTGGCACAGAGGGCTTGTCATGAATGCATAAGAGAAGCAGTCACTGAACCGTGTATACAATGTGATCAAGTGCCGGGGCAACGAGAGGTCATTTTTCGTGGGGATCAAACCTTACAAGACTTTTGTACGTGGCTCTTTCAACCGATACACCAAGGCGCTACAGCGATTGCTCATAATGCTCAAGGATATGATGCACAATTTATATTGAGGTATTTAGTGACACACGGTACAGTCAAGCCGAAACTGATCATGAACGGTAGTAAAATCATCATGCTGGAAGCACATCAAGTACGACTCATTGACTCTATGAGTTTAATCCCCATGCCGCTAGTCGCTTTTCCAAAAACATATGGTTTGACTGAAATGGCAAAAGGATGGTTTCTGTTTTGGGCCAATATGCACGATTTCCAGACATACACGGCTCCTTATTTACCACTAGAGTACTATTAACTTGGAAGTATGAAACCCGAATCGAGAGACAAGTTTCTAGCCTGGTATAATGAGAAAGTCGAGAACAAATTCATGTTCGATTTTCAAAAAGCGATGGAGACGTACTGTAAGTCGGACGTAGATATCTTAAGAAAATGTTGTGGCGAGTTTCGATACCAGTTACTGGCCAGTGATGACATTGATTCATTCATAGAAGCATGTACCTTGGCACAAGCATGCAACAAAGCTTGGAGTAATGTTATGCGTGTTGTATTCCATTGTGGGTGTTTTCCTCCCCAGAACGCCTCATCACCGAAATTGATGAAGCCATTCAAAAAGCTGTAGGGCAACTTTTACATGACAATGACATGATTTTTCATATTGGTTATTCCATACCCAAGAAACGTGTCATGTTTAACAGCAGCCATGCTGAGATGGGGTTACAGTTTCATCAAAAATTACACATGAAATTAGGAGGTGTGAGTATGATGGGTGATATTTACCCCAACAAGACAAATCCCTTTCCTTATGGTGTCGATTTATGGTGTAGGCACCAATCATTTATTCATTTATTCCAATATGGCCGATTTTACTTTCCTCGGAAACATTGAGGCACCCATACTTCGAGTGGTACCTTTTGAATCGACTGGAAAAAATTCAAATCATACTCATGAAGAATTTTTAAATATGCATTACATCCCCATCTTCAAATCTAATTTTGATGAAATTGAAATCAATATAACGGATGACACAGGCGAAGTCGTTCATTTTGTAGAAGGCAAGTCTATGGTCAAGTTTCATTTTAGAAAGAAAACACATTGATCATGTATCCCGTTTATAGAGGTGTTCCCCGACAATATGGTCATGGTCTAGGGTCTTTGTTTCACTCGGCCATCAAATCTACTGCACCTCTTCTAACACCTCTTCAATCAGATGAGAGCCATAAAAAATGAAGGAGTTAGACAAGGCACAGGCGCTATCACCGATGTACTTTTAACAGGCAAAAGTCCGAAACAGGTTTTGAAGACTCGTGGCATACAAGCTATTGAAAACATTGGAAAAACAGCAGCATTGTAATTGGGCAGATCACTCAACAAGCGTGCCAGAGGAGGAAGACCTCGTCGAGCAACAAAACGTATAAATAAACCGACGCACAAGAAAACACCTCATTTCACAACCAAGCGGCGTCGTCGGAGCAATCCACTTCAGCGAATTATACGAAGCAAACGTCTCAAGACGTCTTCAAGACCGATCGATATCTTTGACTAGAACAACGATGATGCAACACGGATCTTGCGAGTGTAGTAAAACAGAGCTTGGTGTTACTTTTGTGCCACCCACCATGACAGCCATGCAAGATGCACAATGGACAGAACATTATCCTATCCTATCAAACATATGGTTTGACTGAAATGGCAAAAGGATGGTTTCCGTTTTGGGCCAATATGCACGATTTCCAGACATACACGGCTCCTTATTTACCACTAGAGTACTATTAACTGTCAACCTGCCTATCTCACGGATACTAATCTACAGTGGCTGAAAGATATAAAGGAACAATTCAACACATATCACACAGACCTCGATCAGCTTTGGATCAGTGCATGGAAAGAAAAAAAGAAACTCGCTTAGAAAATGGACACTATTGAATTACACATTCTCGATAAATCATTTCGATTATGATCACTTCATGGAGTGGTATGCCCCAAGGATCATTTTCCAGAGCAAAACACATCAAGAGCTTACATTGTCAACACACATAACGCCAATCAGCCTGGAGAACATTAGGTGATGCTCTTCTTTAAAGAAAATAAGGCGATTTATTTTGATTCGTACGGATTACCACCTTTGAAAGAACATATTCAACCCTTCCTGGAAAAGAATTCCAGATCCTATACTTACAATCAGGTCAGATATCAAAGTGGAAATAGTGTCATGTACTGTATATTCGCTTTAGATACTTTAGCTCAAGGAAAGGATCTCGATTCTGTGTTAACAAGGACTTTTCAATATGAACCGAAATATTACAATCAAAATGACAAACAAGTCTGTGAATGGTTCAAACAAGTGTATGGACAGTTGTACATGAAAGCTAGACAATTACCTAAACCTGATGCACAATGCTGTACTAGCTATTACAGTAACATTAATCCAATGCCCATGTTTGACTTGTATGTATTAAACCATGATTATCTGTATTTCTAACGTTGTTTAATATGCTTTTTTTAAATGATCTTGTTTATCTTGTTCAAAATGTTTAATTAAAAAGTTTGTTTAATGAAGAATGTTTGTTCAATAAAAAATGTTTGTTTAATAAAAAATGTGTACACACAACATTGTTGTTATCTATGTATTAGTCAAGGGGGTTTAAGTGTACCCTATCCATTTATTAAAGGCCCATAAGTTTCCCTACACAGACCTTTAAGTTTCCCATCACAGGCCCATAAGTTTCCCTATCCAGCCCATAAGTTTCCCCTGTCCAGCCGATAGTGCCCTTCCCATAAGTTTCCAGCCCATAAGTTTCAGCCCATAAGTTTCCAGCCCATAAGTTTCAGCCCATAGTGCCCCCCTTCACTACTGACTCTTTCTTGATCTTAAAATCAATATACATTTTTTCTCTCTTTTTTATAATTATTCTACACAAGTGATCACTAATTGTGCAAAGCCCCTTTTTCTTGTGTATCATATTTTACATATATTATTATGCAAAACTAATATGACACGATTTTAAAAAATAAAATATTTTTCTACGTATTGTAAATACGAAGCATTTGTTGACCTGAAGCTAAAAGCTAAATGTCATTTATAGACTATGACAGGCAAATAAAAAAACAACATTTAAATATAAAAGTGACACAAATTTGCGATGTAAAATGAAATTATCTTTTTTCCTGATTACCGACGATACTATTCAATAAAATGAAGGTAAATGTACCAAAACTTTTTTCATGTAATAATTTGAAATGGTTCTACACATTCTTTTTTCAATAAAAACTGCCTGTTTCTAAGATATTATTATATATCTAGGGAATGTTATTTATTTGATGATATGAAGGAATTTAAATATGTTATATATTTTTATATTCCATTTAGCTGCAACATCCGGTCAGCTGCTCATGAATTTGAAATTTACAGGAGAAGCAGGCGATAGCAGTGAAGGTGCTTGCTTGAAAACTTATATCAAACTATTAAATAAAAGTTTAAATTCCCTTTTATTTAATTAAATAAGTTATTTTTACCACGTGACCGTACTCATTTTTCAGACTGATGCAAAAGAAAGTTTAAAATTGTCAAAACAAGTTTATTTTCATTCATCTTAATGCATTTACTTGTAATAAAAAGAATCAAACATTCATTTTCGAATAATTTGTCTGCCTTTAAGATAATGTTAAAAACAAGTAAAGCGTCTTTTTGTATTTTTTATACTTTTGATGTAAACATACAAACTGATGCAAATATATGTTTGATATATGTACATGTAGTTTCATAACATATTTTAGTGGGTGAATTGTATCTTTTATTGTTTATTTATTTCATTTTTAAACCATGAAATGGTCAGAAACATTATTTATATTCAATCTAGTTGCGGCATCCGGTCAACTGGCAAGAAGTATTCAAGTAACAGGAGACGTAAATGAAAATGGTGAAATGCCTGTTTGAAATTATATTTTTACCATTTGGCCTTTTTCACTTATTTACCAAACAAAATCAAACAACATATTTAAAATGGCAGTATACTCATGTGTGTGATATTAAGCTGACTTAATAACATTGTTATGGTAATTGATTAATAAGTAATAAAGAAAATTGTTTATAATATAATATAACAAGAGCTGTCCGTAAGACAGCGCGCTCGACTTTTTTATTGCTTGCCAATAAAAAAAGTTTTTGCAGTAAAAGGCAATACAAGAATCTCTGTATTTTTAAAGTGAACTAGTTGTTTGATACCCTTGAATATTACAGCAATGTTTATATGACATAATTTATGGTAAAGTGAACAAGTGGATAGGAATGAATTTTTTTAGATTTTTTAAGTTTTTTAGTGCTTGCCTATAATACAAAACATTGACAGTTAAGGGCCATAATTCAAATAAAATCTTTGACAGAATTACCTTCTCCTGGACATGTTTGGGAATCATGATTGTAAACAAGTATTCCAACTTTCAAATTAATATCTCAAACAGTTCAGTCAAAAAGTGGACTGGTACTAAAAACTTAACCAAGATTCTAAGTCGATAAAAGGCCTTAATTTTTAAAACAAATCCTTGACAGAGTTACCTTCTCTTGCGTACAGATGGGGGTAATGATGTGAAATAGCATTAAAAGTTTCAAAGCAATATCTCAAAGGGTTAAGGCAATAAGTGGATTTTACCCATATTCAATGTATTTTCTAAGTCAAAAAGGGGCATAATTCTGTCAAAAACTTGACAGAGTTATGTCCTCTTGTCTGTTGATGAAGGTCGTGATGGTAAACAAGTATGGTCAGTTTCAAAGCAATACCTCCAATGGTTTTGAAATAAAGTGAGGTGGTACAAAAAACTTAACCAAGCTCAATACACTTTCTAAGTCAAAAAAGGGCCATAATTCTGTCAAAAACCTTGACAGAGTTATGTACTCTTGTCTATAGATGGAGGTTATGATGGTGAACAAGTATGGTAAGTTTCAAAGCCATACTTGTAATACTTCTGAAATAAAGTGGGGTGGTACGAAAAACTTAACCAAGGTGTGACGCCAACGCCGACGCCGACGCCGGGGCGAGTAGGATAGCTCCCCTTTTCATAGAAAAGTCGAGCTAAAAACGAGCTTAATTACAAAAAAAAACTGCCAGACTCCTTTTAAGCGATACATTCTGAACAATACTTTTAAGAAGTTAGATAATTGATAATTTCTATACCTCTAGGGGGAGAAACACTGGAATCAGCTTGTCCGTCCGGCCTGCCGTCGTGTTTTCCTTGTCCGCCCAATAACTTAAGATTCCTTTGACCCACATCTTCATATTTGGTATGAAGATCGGTCATGATTAGTAGATGACCCCTATTGATCTTTTTAGGTCAACAGGTCAAAAGTAAAGGTCACAGGGGCCTTGACTATAAAAAGTTTTACCGCCTAATAACTTAAGAATCCTATGACCCACAGTCTTCATATTTGGCACGGAGATAAGTCATGACCATTTAATGACCTCTTGTATTTTGAGGTCATTGATTAAATGTCAAGGTTACAAGGGCCTTGACTAAAGAAAGTTTCTCTGCCGAATAACGTAAATTTCCTTTGACCCACAGTCTTCATATTTGGTATTGTTATTGGTTATGATAAGTAGGTGACCCCTATTGATTTTGAGGTCACCAGGTCAAAGGTCAAGGTGACAGGGGCATTGACTATAAAAAGCTTGTCTGCCCAATAACTTAAGAATCCTGTGACCCACAGTCTTCATATTTGGCATTGAGGTTAGTCAATAATATTTGATGACCCCTATTGATTTTGAGGTCACTGGGTCAAAGGTCAAGGGCACAGGGGCGTTGACTTGAAAAACTTTGTCTGCCCAATAACTTTAGATTGCTTGACCCACACTCTTCATTTTTTTCATGGACGTTGATCATGTCCATAAGATAACCCCTTTTGCTTTTGAGGTGACCGGGTCAAAGGTCAAGGTAACAGGGGCCTTTACTTCAAGAAAGCTTGTCCGCTCAATTGCTTTAGAATGTTTTGGTCAACAGTCTTCATGTTCGGTATTGAGGTAGATTGGTTATGACTAGTAGATGACCCCTATTGTTTTTTAGGTCAACAGATCAAGGTCAAGGTCAAAAGCTTAAACGCCCAATCACTTAAAAATCCTTTCACCCACAGTCTTCATATTTGGCACAGAGATTAGTCAGAACAATAAGTTTTTTTATTTTGGATCACTGAGTCAAAGGTCAAACTCACAGGGGCCTCGACTTCAAAAAGCTTGTGCTCAGTAACCTCAGATTTTTTTGACCCACAGTCTTTATATTTGATATGGAGGTTAGTAATGACCATTAGTTGACCCTCAATTTTTAGGTCACTGGGTCAAAGGTTAATGCCACAGGGGCCTTGACTTCAAAAAGGTCGTCCGCCCTATTGCTTAAGAATGCTTTAGTCAATATACTTCATACATGTATTTGGTATTTAGGTTGATTATGACTTATAGATGACGCCTATTGATTTGAAGGTCTCTATGTCCTATGTCAAAGGTCACCGCCCAATAACTTAAGAATCCTGTGACCCACAGTTTTCATATTTGGCATGGAAGTTGGTTGACCATTAAGTGACCCCTATTGATTTTGAAGTCACTGAGTCATAGGTCAATGTCACGGGGACATTTAGTTCAAAAAGCTTGTCCGCTGAATTGCTTAAGAATGTTTTGATTAACAGTCTTTATATTTGGTATTGAGGTTGGATTTTACTAGTAGATGCCCCTGTTGATTTTAGTTGACTGTGTCAAAGGTCAAGGTCACAGGGGCTTTTACTACAATATGCTTGTCTGCTCAAATGCTTAAGAAAGCCTGTCCACAAGTGTATTGATTTTGACATTTGAAGCATATAATAATGTTCTCATATATTCATCATATAAATACACCCCTGGCAAAGCTTCATGAATGGGGAGGGGTATTCAAGTCATGCAGTGGCAGTTTCAGTTTTGAGGTCAGTAGGTCAAAGGTAAAGGTCACTTTGATCTTTGCCACTAAAAACATGTAGAAAACATAACTTAGCAATGCACTGGCTTACTTCTTTCAGATTTGGCAGGGGGTTGTCCTTGAGCTCTAAATGAGAACTGTTGATTCTAACAAAGTGGTATGCGGGGTATTCACACCATGACAGTGGCAGTTCTACTGTTGATGGTAATAATTGGTAATTGGTAATAAAGGTGAAAATAGTTATGGCAAAAATGTCAAAATATTTTGATTTTTTGATGCTCATAGTCCATCTGCACTTGGATGGGCATAATGAAAATTTAAGCTCAATCGATCCTATAGTTATAAGCATCGGAAGGTAGTTCTAGATTAGACTGTAAGATATATGACATATTTGGAAATCATAGTATTACTATTAAAGTTTCCTACATGTAGTTGATTTTATTACTATTTTTATAATAATTATTATTAGTAGTAAATTGCTTTTATGATACATTGAATTGTAAACAAGGTTTTTATAATGCTTCCAGATACCTTGATGATATTTTTAATTTAGATAATTCTTATTTTGATCAAATGGTGTCTGACATTTATCCCCATGAACTACAACTTAATAAAACGAACTCTTGAAATTTAGCACAACATTTTTGGATCTTACTATCAACAACAATTCTATTCACACGAAAATCTATGATAAAAGAGAAGACTTTGACTTTTGTATAGTTAATAATCCACATTTAGATGGAGACATACCCCATGCAACATCTTACGGGGTATATGTTTCTTAGTTAATTAGATTCGCCAGAGCTTGTAGCAACGTAAAGGATTTCAACAAGCGGAATAATTTCATAACCAGCAAGCTTCTAAAACAGGGCTACCGCTATCATAAATTACGGAAATAATTTTACAATCGTAATTTTGATTAAATTCCAAAATTCAATAGTGATTAAAAAACTCTTTTGCGACAAGGGATTAGCCTGCCTGGTTTTTATGGCGATATGATTTACAAACTTCGTAAGATTTTGGGTCATGGTAATTTTTCTGCTGTTTTTACTAAAATCATTAAACGTTTTATTAAAAGAGGTTATGACCCTACTATTTAAAGACATACTGCATGCTTAGTGCTCAACCCTTATACAGTTGGACACTAGGCTTTAATTCCTCTTTTGATTACATCTGACGGACCAAGTTGGAGACTCTATGATTGACAGTTCTTAAAGCCCTTTTGGACTGAATTATCTTAATGTTCGTCTTCTGCCTTGCTTCGTCGGGCCCTTGTAGGTGATTTTCTTGTTACTCTGTCTTCCTTTAGGACATTGAGTACTTTTGATATGGTCATTGGGTTTACTTTTATATGTTTCTACATGATCATTTTGGTGTTTTACTTATTTAACCTTTTGTAACCATAATAACTGTTAGAATTTCACTTGGGATTTATTTTATTTAGACTGTCACTATGGAACGCCTGGACTGTCTTATGTTAAGAATGAATGATATACCTGGTTAAATGTCTTTCTGTTGAGTCCGAGATACAAAATGCTGGTCGGAAATCCTAATGTGCTCAGTTATTGAAGTCCTATGTTGTGTGCTGACTGTATTTTATTCAGTCAAGTCAATGTATTGTCGGGTGTATAAGTCATTATGTTCAGTTCTTAAAACAAACAGGCATGTAGTAACACAATTATGTTGAGTTAAAAAGATATGTTGTAGGGTGTTGCAGTTATTATGTTCGGTTATAATAATATGCTGTTTGGTGCTCTTCTCATCATGTTCAACCATGAAAATAAACAGTTGAGTGGTACTATCATTTTGTTTGGCTTAGGCAGTGTATTACAATGTATTGGGTGATACTTTTATTATTTTCAGTTGCAATGACATGCTGTTGGGTGCTTTATTCCCTCTGTTCAGTCGTGAAATAGAACTGTTAAATGATACAATCATTATCTTAAATGGTACTATCATTATCTTGTGTGCTGATATCATCTTCTTCAGT